TTCCAGTAACTTCTGTAAATCATTTAATAATTCTTTGTAGATCAACTTTTCAATAGTGAATTTTAGCCGGTAACAATGTATATAAATGCAGTATTTTACTGAATAATTTTACAATGACATAGTAATATATATTTGATTCACGTGAAAAAAAAGGTCAATTATAGAATTATTATTACTTGAACTTTCTAAAAACACGTTATCATTTGTCAAAATAATGCATATGTTAACATTAAAATTTTGTGTTAGCAACAAAACGTGATTGATCAAAAAAAATTATGTTTAGTATTAAGATATACAGTAACAGTCAAAATTAATGCATTGCCGAAATAAAAAATATGAAATAGTGATCATTTGTAATACAGTAATCATGGCAGTACAAATTCTATTTAATAAAATTCATTATATCTTATTTATCAATCTTATTCATCGTTTTTTCATTTAACTTATAAAATCTATTTGCTGTATGTAAAAATTCCTAACAAATACAATCCTTTTCTTTTGACCATTTTATGAAATAAACTTCGTCAAAATAAATAATATTTTTTGTTGTTTCAAAATAATTATGAAAACATATAAAAAGATATTTCATAACATATCTTTTCCTTTTTTAATTTCATAAATATACTATAGTTTATTTACCTATTAAAAAAAAGGTCTAGAATTTTTGCTCTACTTGAAGAGAGATATCTTTTCTGATATGTAGAAGATAAAGAAAAAGTTTTTTAGTCAACCATTATAAGAATTAAGTAGTGTAAAAATACCACTAGTACTTTCAAAGATAAACCTAAATTTGGACATCCAAGATTCTTAACAGAATAAAATGAGCAAAATGTATTGTGATATATTATAATAGGAAAGTGTATCAATGCAGTTGCTATTTAAAAAAACTTAAAATTAAAGAGCAAATGGAAGTTAGTGAAAGTATAGTAAAAAGAACCTTATATTGAATTGGATTAAATACAAGAGTTAAGCGTTAAAAGCCATATCTTAAAAAAACACAAAGAATTGCTCATATGAAATTTGCAAAAAAATATTAATCATGGATACCAGAAGATTAAAGCAACGTTATTTGGTCAGATAAGTCAAAGTTTATAATATATGGATCAGATGGCAGGGAATATTGTTGAAAAAAGCCAGGAGAACCTTTAAGAGATCACCATGTCAAACTTACAGTAAAATTTGAATGGGATAGTATTGTAGTATAGGGATGTTTTACATCTGGTAATGTTGGTAACATATGGGAGGCGGTCAGTAGAAAGGGGGAAATCCAAATTTTGGTCAAAATTTATATTATTGGACCACTTGGCTGATCTCGGTCATGTGCACAAAATTAGCTTAATAATTAAAATTAACAAAAATTTTGGATTTCCCCCTTTTCTACTGACCGCCTCCCATATGCCGAATTTATGGTCACATGAATGGTGATTTATATCGTCAGATCTTGAAGGAAGACTTATTAGGAACCATCGAGTGGATGGGATGGAAAAGTAATATTACCTTACAACAAGATAATGACCCAAAACATACTGCACACCTTACAAAATGGTTTGAAGATAATGCAATTAGGGTGCTTGATTGGCCGGCATAATCACCTGATCTCAATCCAATCGAACATCTCTGGAATGAAATGGATCGTCAAGACACAAAGGATCAAGTATGGGATGCAATTCAACAAATCTGGGTTGAGTTAGGGAATGATGTGTGTAAAAAGTTGGTTGATACCATGCCAGCTCGTATAAATGATGTTATTAGGGCGAATGGAGGTTATACAAGGTGGTAAACTGCAGTTTATCAAAATTTGTGTATTTGAGGTTTTTTATTTGGAGACTTTATTATACAGTATAAATAAAAAAAATTTAAATACCGGTCAAAAGAAAAGCATCGCATGTTCAACATTAATAAATTTTTTGATTTTTATTTTATAAATATATTGAAATTTTTTACAAAATAATAAACTTGTTATGAATAAATTAAAATAAAATATTTTTGTAACGTTATAAGCATTGTATCGTAAATAATCATCATTTTACATTTTACATTTTGGCGATGCATTACTTTTGACCGACACTGTATGTAAGAAATGCACTTCTTTTATAAATTACCAAGAATATTCGGTAAATAACTTATACAAGATTAAGACCCACCCCACATCCACATGTTTTATAAACTAATTTCCATATAACTAAAAGCCGTCTGAACGGTGATTTTTTGAATAATAAATCCATTGTTTTTTTTTAAAATCATAAAATTAATAAGAGTATTAAATATTTATTAAATAAATTTAACACATAACGTCTTAAAATTAAAAAAAAACCTTTTGTCTATCTCATAACTAAAGATCGAAATTATTATAATCTTACCAATTACAACTATTGTTAACTATGTTCTGATTTGTTTTGGTAATGTTTCTTTATTATATCATAAAGTTGATCAATTGAAAAACGTTATCTTTGGATAAGTTAAAGTCTTTTTTTCTGGAATATAAGTTTATTCTCCAAAGAAAATTAGATATTTTTGGTATTAACATCATTTCGTTTCGTCATATTGTAATATATTTGCACTTCGAAGATTCAAATGTAAACTGCCTTGCTGTAAAAGATAAAATGAATGTTCAAAAATAGCACCTTTATTATTAACAAAAAAAAAAAAGGTTAAAGAGTACTTACTTTACGCAAAGATTTTACCCCTTGCGTTATATCCAATGATAATTTAACCTTTTCTTCCCAATTGTATAAAAGGTTCGTCTGATTACCTTGAAAATACGACCAAAATTTGCATATTCATAAAATAGTGTGGGTGTGCAAATTTAACAAAATTTAATGATATAATTCGTTATTATTTAATTTATGTTCGTTATAAAGGCAAATCTCTTTCTTGATACAACTACAAATGATCGAGATATTTTAAAGATTTCCCTGATAATCCATTTATCTTGTTGAGTTAAAAAGTACTCCTTTAATTTTTTTCATTTTTGATTGAGATACTATGCATTTTCGATCAACTGTAGGATACCATTGACATCTTGTGATGCTTCCGTAATAAATAAGAAAAGTAATATGTGACGTGCACCATAATAAACAGTTTTCACGTTCATATTAATTCTATTTATTCTATCTACTGTATTTTTTATTTATTTTTTTAAATACAAGACTAACTAATTATCAAATTGATTAAATTACTATTATTAAGAGTTATAATAGTATAGTTGTAACACTTGACATTAAATTCTCAGATATTTAGGTTCGATTCAATTCAAGAAAGAAAGAAAGAAAATAATAATAAAATTAAAATTTATTGAAGAATTTATTGCATAAAAAGCATTCCTTTAATTTTTTTTATTCCGAACGATAGATGATGAAGCTTATTTCATTGAATGCGTAATTAATGTTCTTGGATATTTATTATTTTTTATTTTAACAAGTATACTAAAACTAAATTTGATTTACTTATATACTGAATGAACAAAAAAAAGGTCATCACGTGATCTATTTACATAATTTAAAGAACTATCCCACAGGTCCTCGTTCATAAAATATATATATCATGATGACATATACTGTAGCATAATAATTTTAGTCCAGAACAGCCTTATGACTGGCCCGAGGATTAACTTATGGACCGGTCTCGGTCTTGGATTGAATCAATTCATCCTGACTATTCCAATACTAACTTAGGCAGTAAAGGCTTCAAGTCAAATGATTATGTCGTGTTGGAATGATTTGATAAGATATTTGGATACCAGGCAAATTTAAATTAAAATACTTTTGATTTTATTTGTACTAAATAAATTTTTACAAAGAAATAAGAAAAAAATAGTAAAAAGAATGTTTAATACAAATGACAATTATTAATTATGTTAAATAAAATGTAAACTAACTATACAATAAAAATTTTCAACTTTTTTCACTAATATGCGATTTTCTTTTCGCAGCATTATTACCTACAGATATATTTTCAACTATATTTTCTATAAAAGAAATAAAAGTTTTAAATGAAGACTCAAGTTCAGAAGGATTTTGTTTCTCAATAATATTAATTACGATATTTTGTTGTACATTATTGACAAAATTAGTATATCGATCTTGTGGACTAGAATTACTAA